GCTGCATGCTGGGGAAACGCCACCTGACCATTCTGGCACACACAGGGTGGTCAGCCTGCAGGGGGTGGGGGCTGCTCCGAGTCCTGCACCCCCTGCAAACAACAAAACTGAGAAAGTTTGTGTGAATGAAATCCACAGGGCATTTACACACACATTCAGAGACAGCCCCCCGCAGCTATATGCACAGTTTACACACACACAGACCAGTACACGCAAATGTGTATACAATCTATCCGATTGCTATACACACAGCAACTACACTCCCCTTGTGTATTGTACACATGCAGCCCCACATCCAGAAGTGCACACCAAACCTACTGTATTATGCACATGTGCACACCAGCTACCATGAACCTCCAGGCCCTAGACCAGCCCCACAGCTGGTCTCCAGTCTCAATGCAACAAGATGACACTGGCTGAGCTCTGCAAGGACAGCTCCCCTCATAGTTAGCAGCGAGTGACCCCAACTGTCTGGGCAAGGCAAGGTGCTCCCACCTCCTGACCCAACCCAACATCAGGCTATGGGGGCTGGAGAGAAGCCAGAACCCTTGCGCCAAGGTGGTGAGGCTGGTGCAATGCCACGTGGGGGGGGGGGGAAGAGTTCCATGAACCCAGCCCTCAGTACTGAGGTGGGGAGGGGGCAGTGGAGATGGGTTCAGGATCAGGGCCTATTGGCCTTTCTGCAGCATTATTAGGAGGATCTAGTGCTCATTTCACCCACCTCCTTCCACGTCCCCCACCCCTCCTCCATCGATCCACCCATCCCTCCCCCATACCCTCACCCCATTCTATCCATTCCCCTCCAGCCCTCTATCTACTCCTATCCATCTATCATTCCTGCAGCCCCCTGCGTCTCCCCCATTCCCAGATCGAGCGACACAGCAGGACTCTCCTATCAAAGCCCCCAGATTCCCCTGCCGCAGTCGAAAACGTGAAACTGGTTCATCGGGAGATTTTCTGATTAATTAAAAAGTGACTCCAGGCTTTTTGCAAGACTTTTCTCTTCATTAAGGATTCTGGCTCCGTTGCGGGGTGCTGGGAAGGACGGGGCCCAGCAGCCCGGGTGTGGGGGTGCATGGGCACACATCTGAGTGTGGAAGTGCACTAGTGGGAATGCTTGCTAGTGCACAGGCTTGTATATGCCTTGTGTCCAGGTGTGCCAAGGGCCACACACAACCCTGGTGCACAGGTGTGCATGGAGATATCCAGACGCCTCGCCTCGCCACACTGGTGTGCACGTATCCTTGTGCTCAGGGCTGCTCGCACAGCTGGGGACACAGCTGACACATACAAAGCACAACTGTGTTTGGGCTGGTGTATCTAGGAGGGTAGGTGTAGGTGCCCCCATGCAGCCCCCCAACCAGAGATGCTGGAAGCCCACTCAGGCGTAAGGGTGCATGAGGGGGGCAGCTGTGCAAATGACCTCCCCATCAGCCCGATCACTGACTTGCCTTCACATCCTCCTACACAGCGCCCAGGGCCTGCAGACAACTGGCACGTGCAGCACCCGCTCAGAACACTGTGCCCCTCGCCAGCTCTGAGTTCAGGAGCCAGCTGGGCTGAGATGCCAACTCATCTCGTGGCTAAGTAGGATCGGGCCAGGCTGGTAACCAGGTGCACCCCCCACTAGAGTGCAGCAGGGAGCAGGGTGAACAACCTGGCTGGGGCACCCAGGGCCTGGAGACCATGACTCCCATGAGCCAGCCAGGCTCCTGGCCCAGGGATGGGAACAGACACCCTCTAGTGGGGAATAGTCCCATGTCCATTCCCCACCACCCCAAGCTAGCCAGCCAGACACCTTGAAGCTAGAGTAGAGCCTGCATCGCGTGGAAGGGAAGGGCCCATCTCTGTCCTTCCATCCTCCCGCAGGCCAGTGCAGCTAATGGAGCAGCCAGCTGGGCTAGGAGAGGAGTGGGGAGGGGCTCCTGCTCAGCGCACAGTGGCGGTAAGACTGGGGTACAGGAGATGGGGCCAGTGCTAACCCGTTGTGAGTCACAGGGGGCCGAAGAGGAGATGCTAACATGCTCCCACGCCAGCCTGGGGGGGCTGGATGCCAGGCAGTTGGGCGGTGCCCCTCCCCCCAGCCTGACTTGATGCTGCCCTGAGGGTTGATCCAGCTGCACCTGCCCAGCTCACGTTCCCAGCCACGTGGCAGATGTCCAGGCCGGGGTGGGGGAGCAAGCGCGTGCACGGCCCCTGGGGGAGACAGTGCCAAAGTCATGAGTGAAGCATGGGGGAGCAGCGCCTCAATGGGTCTTTCACCTCTAGGGGGCGCTGGTCCTGATCCAACCCCAGGGCCTGGAGTCTCCCTGCTCTAAACACCCAACCCCTCCCAGAGCTGGGGCTAGAACCCAAGTGTCCTGGCTCCCTCCTTCTATCAGCAGTGCCATGTGCCTGGATGCAGGGAGCTCTGTGGGAGCCGTGTAAGATGAGACAGGCATCTCCGTGCCACCAGGTTAGGCTGTCGGCCCGTGTTAGCCTGGCGGGGTTGTGACGAGGAAGCCGACGGGAGGAGAGCGTGCTGGAGCCCCCGCAGGGGCCGAGCAGTCGTTCCTGACACGCGGGGCACTCCCCCAGCCAGCGTGGCTGCTCCCCACTGCCACACAGCATTAGCTGAGGTGCCTGGGCCCAGCGCATGCCACGGGGCAATCACAGAGACAAGGGTGCCCTTGATACAGTGCCAACACCGATGCCCAGCTCCCCACTCCTTCCCCCACCAGACAGCTGCAGTCAGCAGAGCAGGGAACAGGAGTTCTGTGCCCCCTGTAACCACTAGACCCCACTTCCCTCCCAGAGCTGGGGGTAGAACCCAGGGGTTCTGGGGCACAGACGGTCTCTCACTATGCATCTGTGCAGAGCCCAGCACAATGGGGCTGCTCCCTCAGTCAGGGCCTGTTGCTGCCACTGTAACACACCTAGCAATGTGCAGCCTTTGGCACAGACAACCCCATGCCCCCTGAACCAGCCGGTCCTCTGCCTTGGCGCTAATCGAAACCGCTGCCCCCTAGAGGGGAAAGGCCCATGCCCCTATCCTTAACATGTGCAATCTATCCCCATAGCAGTCCCTTTAGACACACACAGATGTTGGTAGAGAAGCATCTCCCCCCCCACCCCGCCCCAGATTTTAATAAGTACCGAGCGCCTTCTTCCACCCACAGCTGTTAACACATAAATATTAACAAGGATGAAAGCGACCGATGAGCTGCCTGCAGCCTACATGACACACACCATTGGTAATGGGAAACAGCTGCCCCCGGGCAGGATAAACAACTGGCAGCAAGTCTGGCCTCTCCCTGCACGGGGTGCTGCAGAGAGCGGGGCAGAAACACTGGCTATGAGGGGAGGTCCTGCTTACTCCAGAGTGGGGTGTGTGTGTGCAGGGGCATGTGCGCAGTGCGGGAGAGTGTGCACGTGTTTGGTTGCAGAGCACATGGGGTGGGCAGTGGTACAGAATGGGGCGTGTGTGCTGCTGCTCTCAACATCTGTCCTGAAACAAACTCAGCTGGTGATGGTGCAGTGTACAGATTGAGTCAACAGAGGGCGCTATGTACTCCATCAAACCCCTGGGCCCATCCAGTCCAGTATCCCCTGCCCCTCCTGCTCCCCCAGATCAGACCCCTGGGCCCATCCAGCCTGGTACCCCCCAGTCCCTGCCCCCCCCAGATCAGACCCCTGGGCCCATCCAGCCTGGTACCCCCCAGTCCCTGCCCCCCCCAGATCAGACCCCTGGGCCCATCCAGCCCAGTATCGCCCTTACCCCCCATTCTCCAGATCACACTCATGGGCCCATCTCCCGCCCCATGCTCCCCTCTAGACCACACTCTTCCATGAGTGACACAGCCTTGGCTGGAGGCATGGGGGATCCGGGGACAGTGCCGAGGGAGGGGTCCAGCCCCAAGGGCTGCCCTGGGGAGAACTGTCCACTAAGAAGTAGCATGGAACTCCCAGCAACCCCTGCCTCCAGCAGAGACTTTGCTTTGCCACCCTGATGTGTGGGAGGCGCCCCGATGCCAGAGTGAAGGATGGCACAGATGGCATGTCGTTGCACGAGCACCAGTAAGGTGACCAGATGACAAGAACAAAATATCAGGACACATTGGGGGGGTGCCACTGAAGCAAAAAAAAAAAAAGCCGGAGTGCGTCAAATGGCAACAAATGGCGTCCCGACCATACATTGATCGGGACAAACAACTAAATATCGGGACAGTCCCGATTTTATTGAGACATTTGGTCACCCTAAGCACCAGCTGCCTCAGGCCCCACCACTGGCAGCGATCATCAGGGCATTGGCATGTGTGAGGAAGTCAGAAAGGGGCACTGTGAGCCCAGCCCTGGCATGTGTGCGGGGATGCCCTGGCACCGCTCACAGCACTTGCCATGAGTGGGGGATGGGGGGCGACTGCCCCAGCCTGATGCAGACAAGGCCCCAGCCAGCCACTAGCAGAGCCAAGCAGGTGCCTGATGCTTCGGGCACAACGTGCACCCAGGGCAGCTGTGCCCCAGGGCAGTGTGCAGCAAGGGATGCAGCCATATTCTGAGCCAGTGTTACACTTGGGGGGGGGGGGGAAACACAGCTGAATCCCCCACCCTGCCAGACCCCCCCCCACAGGGCCCCCAACTCCAACATTCTCCTCCAGAGACACTAGAGACGGCACAAACTGCCCCCCCAAACTTGCTATCAGGGCCTGGGCTGGGTCCGAGCCTCTGGGAACAGAGGTTTGGGGGTTGGGTTGAGTCTGAACATTTGGGTGGCAAACGATTGAGGATCCAGCTGGCTCCGAGTGGGGGTCAGATTGCAGCTTTGGGGGATTAAAGAAGGGGCTCAGTCTAAGCTGCTGGGGGGCAGCAGGGGCGGTCCAAGCCTCTGGGGAAAGCACTAGGATCAGGTTTTTGGGGGGATTGGTTCCAGTTACAGGGTGCAGACCTGAGCAGTGCTCTCCCTGCCACCGCTGGCCCACTGCACCCCCGCTGGCAGCCCCCCAAGTGCAGGTTCTCCTTACTATGTGCAGCTGCAGATAGTCCCCCAGCCCGGAGGCGCTGTCCACCCGCACCAGGATGGCATTCTTCTGGTGCGTGCTGAAGCCCACGGCCAGCCGGTCGGCTCGTGTGCTGGGCCGGTCGTTGGGCGGCCAGGTGTAGGTGATAAGCGCCCCGCCCTTCCCAAAGATGTACGTGGTGCCAGCTGGGGGGGGGAAGGAGAGAGAGAGACAAGGTTAATGAGAGGGGATCCTAGAAAACAACTCAGACAAGGCTACTCAGTAAAACCCAGGAGTCCTGACTCCCAACCCTCTCCCACTCTAACCCACCAGGCTCTGCCCCACTCCCCTCCCAGAGCTGGGGATAGACCCCAGGAACAGCTGAAGATATGGCTAATGCACTTCAATCTTGCTCCCCCACCTGCAATTCCAGTCCTGGGCTCCCCCCGACAGCTCTGCCACTGCTGCTCAGTCCCACCCAATAGCCTCCAGCCCACCTCTCTTCCAGAGCAGCAGCCATGTCTCCTTCACTCAAGGAGTGATCAGGCCAAAGAGCCCCCCAGCCCTCTACCTCAGCCCAGCCACAGCAAGTGGCCCATTAGTAAGTGAGGCTTGTCTCAGTCCAGTCCCAAGGTACCCTCAATATAAATCCTCCCTCAGCAGGGAGCTCAGGGGTCAAACAGGCCTCCCATTCCCCTCTGCCTCCCCTGAGCATGATGGGAGCCCAGAGCCTGAGCCCGCCCCCATGGACAGCTGGCACAACACCAGCACGGACACCCCAGAACACCAGCCAGCCAGCCAGCTTGGATGCCACCCATCACCAACACCCCTCCGCACCCCATAGCCAGTGCAAACAGCTCCAGCACCCCTCAGCCACCGCTCACACACTATTAACCACAGTTGGTTTTGGGGGGGGGGGATTTAACTGGTGCCACTTAGCAATTAACAAACACCACAAGCACTCATGATAGTGGAAGGCAGCTGGCATGCGTGTGTCTGTTCCTGGCCCAACTCGGAAGATGGGCCGGGCTGAAATTTCCTCCAAGTGGTTTGCAAAAAACAACCCCCAACTCAGGTGCAATTAGTAGCACCTACCACAGAGCAGCTGGGAGCCCCAGCCACGCCCTGCCGTGCTAGAGGGCCAGGAGTCCAGAGGCTGCAAAGAGGCCCAGAGCGCCATGCGATACTCACCCTGTACGCATGGATGGCCCTGTGCTCGCTGCCTTGAGGGGGGCCCTGGGGCTGCTAAGAGAGGGATCCCTCGCCCTGAGCTGAGAACAGCTCCTAGGTTAGGGCAGTGTCTGTTTAACAGCACACAGCAATGCTGCATGAGTTTGGGACAGGAAGTGCAGGAGAATCCAGAATCCAGTGGGAAGTATTGAGGAGGGATGATGTTACCCTAGGTGGAGTTTGATCTGGGCTCTGGGGTTTGCCAGAAGCTGGGAATGAGTGACAGGATATGGATCACTTGATGATTTCCTGTTCTGTCCATCCTATCTTGGGCACCTGGCATTGGCCAGTCAGAAGACAGGATACTTGGCTAGATGGACCATTGGGCTGACCCAGTATGACTGTTCTTATGGACAGGGGGTGGGGGAAATGCAAAGAGGAATAATGGGGGGGGTTCCAGCTGGGTCCCCCATTCTCCCAATTCTCTATCTGCCCCTCACAAACATGGGGAATGAACTCACATACACATGGCAATTGCAAACACAAGCACAGACACAGCCAACCGCAACTGCACACCCAGCACAAATGCACAGGGATCCTGGCCAAATGCAAAGGCACAAACATCACCACACTCACTCAAAGAAACACTCACCAGTGCGGACATAAATGCAGACATGCAGGTGGGCTCACACGCACACATGTGAGCATTCAGATCTGGGATGCCTACACACACAGACACGTGTGTTCACACCTGATTTCCCTGCACATGCACACACACACACAACCAGACAAATGCAAACACACAAACACACCTGCACGCATACAGATGCAAACACACAATCACAGGCTAACGCAAACATCCACACCCACAAAGGCATCAATGCATATATGCACAAACAGCACACACGCTTCCTAACACAAACACAGCTCCTCCCATACATTCTAATGCAAAATCACAACTGCACAACTGCACACACACTCACCAGTGCAATACACCCACACACTGATTCCAATGCAAACACACTCGCACAAACACACACCAATTCCAGGACACACACACAATTGCTTCCCACCCTCCAATTGCCCCAAGGACCATACTGGCGCTGTCAGACCCCCATCTCTTAGTAGCAAGTTCCCAGACACCTTCCCTCCCCGCCCCCCAATCTCACTGACAGGAATTGACTCCGACATGAGATCGGCAACGTTTCCTGCACTACCTCCTAAAAGCTCTTTCAGCTCTCGCCGCAATAACCCGGCTCCCTGCACTGCTCCATTTGCTGCCCCCTGCACAGCTGTTCCTGTCCACAGTGATCAGGGCCCAACCATCAGGTCCAGCACCAACAGCGGATTCATGGTGGAGTGTTCTGCTGGGCCCACAAAGGAACATGGCTAGGTACACAGTGGGTAGATGGGGGGTGTCACCAGCAGTGCTGAGACAAGACTCTGGAGAGGACAATCACAGACAGGGGAAGCCAGGACTCCTGGGTTCCTTGCTCTGAGAGGGGAGGGATCCTGACAGTCCCTAATCACCAGACCCCACTTCCTTCCCAGAGCTGGGGAGAGAACCCAAGAGTCCTGGCTCCCAGCCCCCCTACTCTAACCCACCAGATCCCATGCTCTTCCAGAGCCAGGACTAGAACCCAGGAATCCTGGCTCCAGTCCCTGCTCAACTCCCCTCCCAGATGTGGGCTAGAACCAAGGACTCCGGACTCCCTGCCTACCCTCCAATCAGGATTTAGCGCTGTTTCCCACCCCTCTGCCATATCTGCTGCCGTGTCTGTGGCGCCTCAAGCTCACCAGTCATAGCCCCCACAAGCACCCTCTAACTGTGAGGCAGAGAGAGATCAACTGGGAATCCGGGTCAGGATGAGAAACTGTGAGGCTGAGCTGTCTGACGGCTCCATGACTCTCCCAGAGCCAGGCCTGGCCACCTAAGCCTCCCCCAACCCCCAATGCCCTCCAGTGCAGCTCCGCTGGCTGCAGCCCATGGTGGACAGAGCCCTCTGCCTCACGGTGCCTCTTGGCACCCCAGTGGGCTGGACCTGTGCTGTACTGGCATGTGGTACATACACAACGGCAGTGAGCTAGAGGTGGGATTGTGAAGGGAGGGAAATAAGGTTAGGAGCTGCACGAGATTATACCACCTACCAACTACTGACACAAGATATTCCACATGGTGCTCAGTGCTGAGACGCAGCCACCTCTGGGGTGGGGCGCAGCACCTATTTACAAAGTCACACAGAATGATGCACATCTATCTGGAGCAAGAGGTGAAGCAGAATCCTGAATCCAACTGACACTGCCGTAGGGAGCTGTGACACAGAGGAACATTGGTGTCAGCTGTTCTAAGGATTTACTACTCTGTGTCAGCAACTCCTATCAGGCCTGACAAACTCTCTATACCCAACACACTGCTGTCACTATGCTTATCCAGATGGTGTCTTGTAAGGTATCGAGTGAAAGCCGAAGCTACTCGGGGCCTTGCTCTTACTGACATTGCCCAGGGAGCTGTGTACAGATCTGAACTGACGCCCGAAAGTAGGAAACAAGGCAGAGCAGACAAACAGCTCTTCTGGCAGACAGGTGCACATCAGTTCTCCTCGGCCTGTCTCTGAAGTAAGTGCAGCCCTGTGACGCCAACACAACAGAAGCCCCCTTTGCTTGTGAAGGTAACCGGAAAAATAGGCTGGGGGGACATGAAATCACCGTGTGTGTGTCTGTGTGTGTGTCTGTGTGTGTGTGTGCTCCAGACAGCAAGCAAGGGGGACAAAGAGTCTTCTCTGGGGCGTGCTGCCAAAGGGACACAGCCAAGGTGTGCTGAACTAGACAAGGAAGGAAGGCGGCCCCTTTCTCATCCACCTCTGGGCGAGCAAACGGGAGAAGGCTTTGTGCATTCCTGAAAGTTGGCTGCTGGCCGCGGGGACTCGTGACACTGGGAGGTTGCCGTAGGTGTGAAATGGCTCAGACAAGGATTTTAGCATGTTCAGGTTCAGTTCAGGCTCCAGGAAGCGTGTTATCCCGCATTTCCCACATCACCTGTTTGTCTTACTGTCTTTGCTCACTAGTTCTCAGATCATAACCATTCTAAATAAAGGTACACTCACTTTCCCGGCTGGTCATTTCCAGCGCTGGGCTGCCCTGATCCTGAGCTGTGCCAGCCTAGGGTGACCAGATGTCCCGATTTTATAGGGACAGTCCCGATTTTTGGGTCTTTTTCTTATATAGGCTCCTATTACCCCCCACCGCCTGTCCCGATTTTCACATTTGCTGTCTGGTCACCTTATGCCAGTCAGACTGTGCACACGCGGTCTCTCTGGAGACGGCGTACCTGGTTATTTCAGTGAGTGTCCAGTGACGGGCTGGGTGCTGCAGAGGGGGTCGCTGCCAGAGGGGCTCGGCGGCTGGTGTGTGTCTGTCACTAGTTGGTTCAAGTGAGGCGAGGGCTGTGGAGACCTGAAAGTCAGGGCTTGGCTGTGGCCAGAGGCTGGTGGGTTCAGGGAGCTGAGCTACAACAGGCCTGCTTCATGCGAAGGGCAGGAGGTGGAGAGGTGCCTCTCACTCCTGAGTGCCCCTGGAGAGCGTACCTGGAGCCCCCACCCCACTCCCTGCAGCATAGCACCACACTGGGTCAGTACTGACAACAGGAGAGAGCACCCCCTATGGAGCCCCTGGGAGGAAGTGGGAATTTTCATAATATTGTTTATGATGCCTATGTGCGCCTCAGTTCCCCCTCCCTATATGTTGCATGACTACCCGGGGGGAAGGGGGAAAGGACTATGTTTGTTGTCACACTAAAAGTTATGTTGACCCAACTACATCGCTCAGGAGTGTGAAAAATCCACCCCCCTGAGAGACATAGTTAAGCCAACCTAACCCTGGTGTAGGCAGTGCTAGGTCCTGCCTCTTGGGGAGGTGCATTACTTACACTGGGGACACCCCTCCCGCCACGCAGGTAGTGTCTATTCAGAAGTGCTGCAGCAGCACAGGTGCAGCTGTAGTGTTTCTAGTGTAGACAAACCCTGAGGGACACAGGGGC